GAGAGAGAGAGAGAGAGAGAGAGAGAGAGAGAGATTAGACTCCGCCTCTGGCTAGGTATAATTAGCCGTTCATTAACGACTTTAACGGCAATGTGAGCCCCTTGCCTATCCAGGATTCGCTCACGTTTCCTCGAATCATCGCTTCTCTCCCCCCGCTTCTCCTCCCACACTTGGTTCCGCGAAAAGCAATCGTTCCGTGCAAATTCGTGACTCGGGCGCAAGCCTGCTTACGTCGGGAAACAAGTTGGACGAGCCGGCGAGCGCGATCGATATATCGAATGGTTCTCGCCGGCGTTGCTCTCCGCCACCTTGGCGGCATACGCTGATAACGAGAGAATGTTTTGCCAAACTCCATCGTCCTCTCTCTCTCTCTCTCTCTCTCTCTCTCTTCCGCCCGTACGGTTGAATTACGAGCATTAATTCGAGCTTCGAGGCGACGTCACGCTCCGTATTCCTCGGCGAATTTATAGCCTCCATTCGTACACATTCACGACCGTCTGGAATTTTGCCGTTTTCGAAAACCGACCCCGAAGCCACTGAGCGTTCGAATTCTGATCGAGAGGTTAGGTTAGACTGCGATCGGTAATATTTCCTCAACTAATGTGACTATATTTATAGGTGACGAATGCATCGATCAGGTGAACACGAAAGATGATTTGATATATTACCACTAAAAATATCAATGCTTGGGAAAATTATTCTTAAAATAAGACAGCAGATCAAATTTAAATGTATCAAATTTATGTATATAAAACTGCAGGTTAATTTGCTGAAAAAATATTTCAACGATAAAAATTCCATTAACTTATCTCTCTAAAGTTGCGTTCACAATGGAAATGACACCTGATCGTTAAAAATAAGCTATTAACCGAACGATTGAAAATCATTTCAACTTACGATCGGTGGAGGAATCGCACGACGCAAGAGATTTAACCGAGAATGAAGGAACGAATGGGTCGTTAAGTCGGAATTGACGCCGCGATTTTGCCGTCGAGTGAAAGATGTACATCCGCCGTTGCAGAAAGTCGTCTAAATTTAGGAGCGTGAAACGTAATATGAAGAGAAGGGGACCGCGTGAGCAGCTGCAGCGTCATGCAATTAATCGAATGCAGCGATGCCCCGCCTGTAATTGGATCTGTTGCATTAGACCGTTGCGGAAAGTAAACAAGAGAGTCAAGATATCTGCGGCTCTCGCGAGTGGCCAATTTTGCAAAAATCACGCCGCCAGCCTTTTACTTTTTCCAACGTGCCAGTTAGCGCTTCACATCCGTCGGTAAAAACATTCGCGTTACGGGATATTTATCACGTCGATGCCCCTCTCTCTTTCTCTCTCTTAACAGACTGCTCTTTTTCATTCGTTACTTTATTTCCGCGCCGTTTCTCCCCGCTTTTTGCGCCCTCTGCCTCGCAAGTGGCTTACACATATCTCGTTAT